TAGAAAGATTCAAAAATTTTTCTGGCACCTATAAGTATCAGTCGATAGACTTTCTTCATCAATAGTTATAGTTATTTCTTATCATTGAAAGGTATGAAAATTATGTTCATTTATACATTAATTAATGTATAATAAACAATTTTCTTTAAAATAAATCCTAATTGATTTGAATAACTTATTATTTATCAATTATAATTTTTTTAAAAACATTGAGATACACACACACACACACACACACACACACACACACACACACACACACACACACACACACACACGTATTTTGGATATTAATGTTCAAATGACGTTATCATAGTCTGTTGCTCTACTTAAGTATAGTTTACGTACTCTCTAACTTCTATGGAATGGAGTCTCGCTAAAGAGTGAAAATCGAATCTTGAAAAAAAGTGGGTTAATTTTCAAACTTCAAAAGTGAAATTTCACTCTTCAGAGTAAGATTTACTCTAAAAGTTTTTAGAGATTAAATAACTTGAACTATAGATTTTCAATACTGACAAGGTATATGAACACGGCCAATGTCTGGAGAAAACTGGAGCTCCACATGTTATAATAGCGAGTCTTCAGGTATTCGGAATTTTTGGAGCAAACATAGTCAGGCATGAGAACCCACATGGAAATCGGAGAGTCGCAGATTGCGCTCGGTCGTGGGATAATAACTATTTTATTCCGCGACCGCTGACATCAGCATCCCCGGAATCTCGCGTTGCATAATAACGGCGTGGGATAACGCAATTTTATTTTAGTGCATTTAATCGTGCTCCTTTTTTATGTAATGGGGTCCCGAGAGGCGTTCGAGCGCACCGCGATGATGGAAACAACTACGTGTAAAAGTTAAATTGCTACCTCATGCCGGAAGATCTATTATGCAATCGCGACGGGCGAGAGAGGACAATAGATGCACGTGGCAGTGTTCCTCGCGCGTGAGGATTCTGCGACAACGCGCGTGTCCGGAAAACGTACCGTTACGATCGTCGATATCACCGTTTAACGATCACGCCCTGAAAGTGTTACAGCTAACGCAAACATCGCGCGTACACATGTATACACCTTCCCGATCGTATCCGTCTGCGCTGGCTGACCCATCCGTGTCACGATCGCGATCATCATGATACTCATATGCACGTATTAATCCGGGATTCAATATTCCGTTCACGAACTATGCTAATTCTCGCCTCCTGAGGGTAAAACGTGTCGAAAGAACTAACGGAAGAAATTTCAACAAGGAAGATAGCGAAATAAAAAATAGAAAAATCGAAAAGATAATCTTTAGACAAAACCATACAGAAGCACAGAAAGAATAGGTTTGCTGAAGGATCTAAAATTTGAAGATATAGATCTGATCTAGATATAGATCTGAAAAAATTATGTTGAATCAATCAAATAACTATGTAGGACACTCAAAATGGTTGCTAGAAAGTAAAAATTTGTTGCAACATTGCTTATCATGATAACGCTTTTTTTTTGCAACATTGCTAATCATGTTGTCATGAGGTTGTGGTACTTAAGAATATGTATCTTGGGATACAATTATTTTTTTAATAAGAGATTTTTAACTTTCCGCTGACAACATAATTTTAAAGACATGGTATTTAAAATTGATATTTTTATTGTAAATTTTGATAAATAAATCTGTAAAATAAAATACAATCTGACTTTTATAATGTTAAAAACTTAATGTTAAAGCTTTGACAAGTATATCAGGATCATCTTTTCAAATCTTTATATAATTCGGAACAATAAAAAAATTTGCTTCTTGAAAACTCTTATTGTTAATGAAAGAATTAAAATTCTATTGCGGAAAATAATATTAGCTCACAAGTTACATTACTTCAGTTGAAAAATATAACTGAAGAGCCAATGTTAAAAATCTCATTATTATTGAAAAAATAATTAGTGTACCTCAAGATAATATATCTCTGGATAGAGAAATGAATAGAGAAAATCACAGTCTTTTCTATTCATTTATGAAATATTAACCAAGAAATCTCGTCCGAAATGAAGAATTCATTGAATAGTATTTCATTTCTCTCACACCATTATTCTGAGTGTCAGTTACGATACTCTCGGATTCGTCACGTCTGAATTCTGACACGTGTAAAATATAACAGGACACCTGAATCACCGATTACGAATTCTGTTTACGTTTTATGTTAATTGGTGTCGAAGGGACGAGTTTGAGTCAAGTTAGAGGTTTGGAGAGCCAGGGCATTCACGTACGAGAAATGCATTTCGTTTACTTATTAAGCTTTGCCTCTCACAGTCAATTTTTTTTATTTCCCATCAAAGTTCGCGCGCCGCGATATTTATTATTGCTATTAAATTTCTGCTCGTGTATCATGATAATAGCATGGTAATAGTGAAACATAAAGGATGCGAGGAACGTCCAGCTCGCCGACAATGCGGAGAAAGTTGATGCAAGGCTGCAAAGAACACGGAAAGGCACGCCCTGACGAGTGTTCTCGTCCTTTCGACTCTCATGACCGCAACTCTGACTTGTTCCTCGTTGCTCACATATTGTACAAATGGGAAGTAAAAACTAAAGAATCTTTTTAAAATCCAATGAGTTTAGTTTCTTTAAAAATGATTATTTAAGAAAAAAGAGATTATTTAACTTTAACTCCCTGAAATATTCCTGGTCGCGTTTAGCAAATTTGAGTTCAAAGATTAGAAATCTTTATATATTTTAATAAATCTTTAATTTAAATATCATATATTTGAAAATAGGAAATGGATAGATATAAAAAGTAATAGAGAATCTCTTATTTAAAACATTTTAAAAATTATTATATGACTTTATATATGGCTTTTGAAATTGAAGAAGTTATAGAATTATTTCATTGTCTTTCTATAATGACGCTTTACTTCAGGAATACTAGAGCGATGTATTGCCATGAGTGTCTTGGTATGCTCGGTATCTAACTTTAGAACTGGTAGCAAGCAGTCGAACCAGAAGTTGACAAATTGTTACCAGACGTGTTTAAAGTACCGCCGGCGATTCGCCTCACGGTCTCTACAACACAATCTCGTGTATCAGCTTATACGGCTAATCTCTTCAAACGGATTATTGCTATACAACATACCACACGGTAAGACGTATTGACTTTTATGTCACAAAATTGGTAAGCCGTTCACAGTTTCAAACTCGTTCTTCTCAAAAGCATACATTTCGAATAAGTTTTGTAAATGAAAAGATTTGATAATAGAGGCATTATTATAAATTTGCACTGTTTAAAAA